GTCTTGGAAGTAAATCCTTTTTTTCTGGATGTTTTTTTTTCCAGAAGTATTTCTTTCTCTTCTCTCACGATCTGCCCTTCTACCTCTCTTCGTAATGCCCAATCTCTTGTCTCTTGCACTTGTGTCGCTCGTTGATTTTCGATCTCACACGAGTCCTTTAACTGSAGCCCTTTCGTCTCAAGGTCAGCCTAACAGCAGTTGCTTCATTGTTGTGTTCTCATGCGTCCAAACGTTACCTTTAGTGATCATACTTCGTACGAACCTTAACCTGTGTCAGGCTTTACAGTAGAGGGGTGTGCAAGAGAGGGAGGGGGAGGGGGTGACAGACAGACGGATAGACAGACAGGAAGTCAGACCAACATCAGGAGRTCATTCTAAATCATAAATCGAGYATAAYAAATTTTYAATWTTTTAWAATWATTTCAGACACTGAATTGGAGAGTCCAGTAGATGCTGTAGATGGCAGCTTTGACGTYGATCGTCAATCCACAGGCCTAAAACTGCTCCTCAGGCAGTTCTGGGCACTGGTAGTCAAACGCTTTCACCACASCCGCCGCAACCGTAAAGCGTTTGTCTCTCAGATCATCCTTCCCGCTGTGTTTGTATGCCTGGCCATGATTGTAGCACAGATTCGTCCATTCTACGAGATGCCTCCCATTAAACTTAGCACTAAGATGTTCCAAGAGTACGAGCCGTACAAACATTTCGTCATGTTCTCCAACGATGACCCGGTGGACCCAGTAGCCCAGAATTTGACTGATACCTTCCTTAACTACCCTGGAATAGGTAGAATGATTGGGGGATGTTGGAGAATATGTTGTCTTCGCGTATGTTTGGGGAGGGGGGGGGGGTGAAGGTTTTTTGGGAGGAGGGTGGGAGAGAAGGGAATATTTTTTGTGGTAGGAGAGGGGAGAAATGACCTCGTCACTTCTTGCTACGAAAGTGCGAACTGTCCCTCGGGAATCCCTTCCCACCTTCGTGCTTCCTTTYGCTCTTATTTGCCTAACAATAATTTTCCATTTTCAAAGGTACATCATGTATCGATGGCTCATGCCCCAAAGGTCCAATAAACTTTAAGGGAGCCTTGACCCCTCCGGCCAACGTCACACCAGATTGCTTATGTGGAACAGGGATACCTGTGTGCCCTGCTGGGGCCGGGGGTCCAACGCCTCAACACTGGAAGTCTTATTCTGGAGACATATTGCAAAACATGACTGGAAGAAGCGTTGCWGATCATCTTTTGAAGACTTACCATGATTATGTTAAGAAACGGTAAATAAGTTTGATTTGAAAATTCAAGCGGCTCGCTGTCGTCATCGTCGTCGTTGTTGCTGTTGCTAGCGCTGCTCTTGCTGTTGCCAATAATGCTGTTTATGCTCTTGCAGTTGTTGGTGCTATTGTTGCTGTTGCTGCAGTAATTGCCATTGTTGGTGCTGTGGTTATTGTTGGTGCTGTTGCAACTACTTCTGCTGCTGCTCTACTGTAGTAAATTTTAGTGTCATTTTATCGTCGTCATAATCTTCGTGATTTAAACTGTCGCTCTGTTTTGATACTGGCTTTTTGGCCGATAATGAAGAAGATGATGATGATGATGGTGATGATGATAGTGTTGATGTTGATGCTGCTGCTGCTGATGGTGATGATGATGTTGATGCTGATGCTGATGATAGTGATGATAGTAATGTTAATGCAGATAAAAATGCAAAAATAAATTGTATTTTAATTACTCTATCTTTTAGATATGGCGTCGTAACTTTTGGCGACAATTTCCGTAATCTTCCTGACAACATAAGACTTGCACAAGATCCTGCGACCAAGAGATTAGTTACTGCGAGAAACACCAAGGTATCATACTCATGACAATAAAAAAATTTCCCGATCACTAATTTGTATTTGTATCGGAAGTAAGCACAAAACTCTGTTTGAAAGCATGATTTTCATTGATTATATTTCACTTCCGGAAAATTGCGCATGCGCCAAAAAGTGGATGCCAGAGCCCACGTTCTGCGTCGCAGGCCAGAAGAAATGCTGGCTCTGGGTACGAGATTGCTCTCACAGGGAATCTGTTCTTTTCTGTATTCGTATAGGCCTGGTACAACAACAAGGGATACCATGCTGTACCAACCTTCTTGAACGTCTTGTCCAACAACATCTTGCGGGCCAAAGCTAAAGAAAAAGGCTATGATCCAACTAAATTTGGTAAGAATAGACATTCAAGATATCATTTTAACGTTGAATATGACAGACGTCTTCATCGCAACAGATCTAAGGGACCAGTCGGTATCTAAGGGGGGGGGGGGGGGGGGGGGGGGGGGGGGGGGAGGGTTTGGTGTCAAGAAATGGTAAAACAATTTTTCATGTTGTTAAGCTGGGTATTAACATTTTTCATGATATATTCGTAGGAATATCTATCACTAATCATCCAATGAACTACACTAAAGAACAACTCAATGACCAGACCGTGTAAGTATATCCCTTCCCTTGCAGCTCTTCTAAGACCGTCAAATAAGGCTCGTTGCTGCTGCTACATGATCTTACTAAATGCTTGCATCGTTCTTTGTGTTATAGTGGTTATATAAATTTTACTGTTTTTATTGCTACGCGCTGATCGAGACAAAAGTCGCGACAGGTAAATCGGCAATAGACTAAGGAACATGGAAAGCTACACAACTGTTGTGTCAGTCGGCGTGTAGCAAAGAAAAAAGTAATACAAATCCTCAGCCATGTAATTTATGAAGTTCCGCTGGTATCCTTTGAACCACATAGTGCGAGATCACTGATCAGCCAATAAAGGCTTTGCACCATCACGTGATGGCAGCCATGACAGGAGGCAGGAGCAATTGAATTTCGTCTAATCTGATTTACATGAGAAATATTTCAGTTTCCCAGGGGAGAAGGACTCTATTGTTGTGCCTCCTGTCATGGCTGCTATCAGGTGATGGTGCAAAGCCTCTATTGCAATACAAATGCTTTGACGGCACAGTCACCCTATGGCACGCCGATATTTTACGTTTTTTCAAGTCATGAGAATTCATCTATATTATATACTTTACTGTACACTTCATTTCCTCACAGTCTTTTGATTTCCTTTTAGCATCAAGCGTGCCGTGGATGTCCTAGTAGCGATATGTGTAGTTTTCGCCTTGTCCTTCGTTCCCGCCAGTTTTGTCGTGTTCCTGGTAAACGAGCGAGCTACCAAAGGAAAACACTTACATCTAGTCAGCGGTGTTAGGCCATATGTCTACTGGATAGCAAACTTCTTCTGGGACATGGTAAGCCATTGACTTTTTTACCTTGGGCGTAATGTTTTCCCATTAAAGACCACGTGTCATTCCCTTGAGAATAACATTCATTGTTTGAGTTGTATTCATATCCATGTGTCTTCTCATTTACAGCCGTTAAACAAAGAAATGACACTTTCGATACTTAGCTCATTTTCTATTGATTTTATCGTTACGATTTACATTATGATTTTATTTCAATTTTTATTTCTTTTTAATCTTGAACATATTTCCTTTCTTACTATTTTCTTATTTTTTTTAGTGCAACTATTTGGTTCCCGCCATGCTGTGCGTGCTCATTTTCTTGGCTTTCAATGACGAGTCGTACACATCTGCAATGAATTTCCCTCCCACGCTTTGCTTATTACTACTTTATGGGTGAGTGTAGTTTAATTTTGGGGCATCTTAGTTTAAAATCCAAAAAGTCTTTGTGGACCCATAGCCGATCATGAGGTACACCCTTGTTAAAAAAAATTTTTTAGAGTTTATTTTTATGTATTCTGTCAAAAAATTCATCGATGCAATATTGATTTCTCCTGATTCCGGAGGTCCCAAAACTGATCGCTGAGGCATACCAATTGGCTGTTGGTTGACTGATGTTTTAAAATGTTCTKTTTCAGCTGGGCCATTACACCACTAATGTATCCAGCATCGTACCTGTTTACAGTRTCCAGTACAGCATATATTGTCCTCATCTGCCTCAATCTGTTCATCGGTGTCAACTGCACATTGGCAACATTTATTCTAGAACTCTTTCAAGACGACCAGGTTTGCATTGCCTTAAACCACTTATTTTACAGAAGAAAAAAGGCAGACAGAGACGACGGAGGGAGAGGGGGGCGGGCTATAACGTTTCGGCAATATCCACTTAGTTCCACGTTCGAATTAAAGACTGACCACAAAATTACATGAACTTCAAAAAAAATTTCTTAGTGGAGCTCACGTTGACAATTTTTCTGCCCGTTTGTCGCACATGCGCTTCTTCAAACGAGTGTTAAAGAGAAATGATGTGGATGTAGATGCAGATGCAAAACGTTATTTCACTGCGATTTCGTTCGCAAAGTCTGCGTTTGTCTTGGTCAGCACCAACCAAGAGAAACGCAGACTTTGAAAACGAGATTTATTCTAACGTTGCTTCGAAGCGCGCAGACGCTTTTTTAACGTCGATTGACATATTTTTATTGATCTTAATAGGAGTTGACGGATATTAATGATTGGCTGAAGGTCATCTTTCTCGTCTTCCCAAACTACTGCCTTGGACGAGGACTTATTGATTTGGCAAAAAACCAGTTCCTTGGAATCTTCGATAGATTTGGTATGGTATAA